TGCCATCGACATCTGCTTCTAGTGTTTTGACAAGATCCAGGACTGAAATAGTTACACCGAGAAAGCATAAACTCAGGAAAAGACTTAAATTTGTGTCTGCTTCCAAAGCTAATCTCAAAGAGAAGTACCAGACACAGATCAGTGAACTGAAGGCACAGTTAAGAACTCCAAAACGTGTTGTTAATCAAGCCCTAAAGAGGAATCAAATCCAACTGGACTTGAAGGACAGCAAGATCAAGGAACTTAAAGCCAAATTGCATGGGAACTCTTTGGCACAACAGCTTGCTGAAACACAGGCCCAGCTTTACAAGCTCAGAAAGGATCAGTTGCTGAAAAGTTGTAGCACCAGGCGTATGAAGAAAACAAACACAGTTTCTCTAAAGCTGTATGGAAAAGTTCATCAAAAGCTGAAGAACAAGGAAGAGGAAGTGAGGCCTCTGGAATTTGAAAATCTTGTGCCGACAGAATCATTGGAAAATGTAGAGGATTCCAGTACTGCTAAATCTACAAAGGTGAACCAAGTGAACTACATGTACTCTTCAACAACGAGGACGCACGTGTATGACTGCACTGCAGTGTTGTAGTACTCGTACTCGGTACTCGTACTCGAGTACTACGGTACTACTCGAGTACCGTTTTCAGAGTACTCGTACTCGTACTTCAGTTCTTGTACTCCGGCTACAAAATACACGGAACTCGACATCCAAAACTTGTACACGAGCATCAAAGTACTCGTACTCGATTAACAGTGCTCTATAAAAAATCCTTTAAGTTAACTTAACCCCAATGACCCGATATTCGATACGGTTCTGACAAAAAGAAGGCCAAACGTCTACGACCCATTCGCTGTCTGTGCGCATACTTAACCAATCACGTATGCAAATTATATTGTAGTTCTCCAGAATGGTCCCATGATTTACTTGGGCATTGGTAGTGTGGTTCCTGGACCCAAAAATTCTAACGACGAACCAAGCATACAGAAAATCACAGGTATATGAATAATTGAGTCTGGAAAATAGACTTCGCTGCGCCGTACACGTTGTGTCAACTGCTGCAACGCACGCATAGTGACCATGACATTGCTAGCCAGATCACTTGTTCTTGTAGCCATGTCATCTGCATTCGGTGTTTCTTTTACTCAGTGGCAGGTCTTAGAGTCTCTTAATTAAGATAAAACTACTTCTGAATTAGAAGTACTTGTACTCGTACTTGTACTCGGAGTTAGAAGTACTTGTACTTGTACTCGAAAGTGCAAGTACTTGTACTCGGAAACCAGTACTTGTACTCGGCTGGCAAAGTACTCGACCTATCTTGGTACTAGGCAGTCAAAGTACTCGGCAGTACTTGGGACTCGAAAAAAAGTACTCGACTACAACACTGCTGCATTGTCAATAAAACCCCAACAGCAAACATTTCAAACCCGATTAGTCAGTTTCACAAAGTAAACTTGAGTTGGACAGTGTTCCGCAACGTAGTTCCATTGAACTAATGGCTTGAGAATTGGGAGCTATTGCAAAATTGCAGTATTAGCAACAAAGGATGTGACTCTTGGGTTTGATGCGACAACACAGGAAGAACTTCATGTCAACAGCATTCATTTCACTTACAAAGATGAGTGTCAAAGATGAAAGGCCAATTACCGTGTCTAAAAAACAACCATAACTTTGTAAATATTTAAGCTACAGGCATAATTTTGGTATCAAAATGTTTCTTTCATAAAAGTCTATCCACAAAGGGGGAAAATTTAAGCAAAGTTTGAATTTGAATTTTTTTGCAGCATCCCTAGATAATGACTACACTTGTCGGTAAGAACAGCGCTCCTTGATGTCACAGTTTGAAACTTTCCACCACTTCTCAACAGACAATTACAGGATTTTAACATTTTTTCACATTCAGGAACACTAATTCAGATTTTTATTAATCAGACACACTCCATTTTGCAATCAATACACAGCCACAACAGGATGTGCATGTAAACAACATTGCTCTTGTTCTTCGAATCCCTAGTCTAGTTTGAGTGGCTGATACAAATTTAGGAAAAAAGGGAGTATGATGAGTCTGGGAACCAGACTTTGATATGCACCCACTTGTGTTGAAAAGTCATAATGTATGGAGGTTTTGGGTACAAAATTAAAATTTGGGATTACGAAAATGAAAAAACCTATCAAAACACTAAACAAACAAAACTGTTTAACTTAACCAAAAAATTCTTTGAAAAATACAGCAATTTGTCTACTTGTGATTTGATTGTGTTTCTGTCACGATTTGTTCAGTTGAATTTTCGGGGAAATACATTGAGTTGTGCACAAAATACAACAAATTTATCGCCGGATTTCTCCCCTTTGTGCCCTTTGTCACAATGACAACATCAACCAGTGAATTTCCCACAGTTCAAACTATACACATTTCATCTAGTTCTGAAGTGGGTGGCATGAGATGACCGAAAAATTGGGTGTGTTTCCTGGCTTACTTAAGTACAGGATTTGCTGAAGTGCCAAAAAACGCACTCAAAAACAAAGGTTACCAGCTAAATTTTTGTATGACAGTGACTGTCATGCCAACCAGAAACATGTAAATAACATTCCAAAACAATATACATTGTGCCCCTTCCAGCCGCTATGCCTGGTGATGGTTCATGTCATGGAATAAACAGGAAAGTCTTGAAACCAAGACTAGGAATATACCGGTGTTTCGCATTTATAATTGGCTAAGACGGCGAATGTGTAGCCTTGTGTTTGTCGGACTGTCCCAAATATCGATCTGCGAGGATCAATTTTCACGTACTGTTGTATTTTCATGGCCGCTACGGGATTTAAAGGATTTTTTTTATCCAGTACGGTTGACATGCACAGACATGCTGTTTGGAGGAAACATGAGCTCACTTATTTTTGATGTACATTGGTATTTCTATACAAGGGGTTCAGGTTTTTTGCCTTCTACTCTAATATGATTTTGTAAGTTTAGAAAACATTCTTCAATTTCCAAGAGTAATTAAATGACAAGATTTACTGAGAGAGTGTAATGGGCACACAGAAAAAGATGTCATTACATATTTTGACCCCTAATTTGTAGGGTAACAGACACGGCAGTTCCCTACATTTGTAACATTATTTTTGGCCTCTAGTGTTCTGGCAGAAATCGTCATTTAATTTACCAGCTTAAATGACGAATGAAATTCTTTATTGGCCAGATTTTCGAAGTACACAATAACTCTTGTCTTGCTATACAAATATATGTGCTGGCATTCCGTCTTGAAAGGTTGAATTGCCGGCCCATGGCCTAAGGCTTCGTCAGTGTAATCCTGGAAATCTGTCAGGCACCTGTACCTGCATGACGCAGCTAGTACATTAGAAGTATCAAAGGCTGATGTGTTTCGTGTAAACACTGCTCATTTGGGGTCCAGAAAAATTACTCTTTTTTTCAAACGTCAGAATTCTTGCCAGCTGCAAAATACCTGAAACGATGACAGCAAGTGTTGGTCCTTTGGGTAGTATTTCATTTATCTTTGCACAAACTGGAGAAATATTTCAAAAAGAAGTTTTACATGTTGCATTGTCCAACAAAATTTGTACATGATTTCACTTAGTTTCTTTCGTGAAAATTTATTTTTCCTTTGATTTGTGCATTTCAAATTTCTCTTTTTCAGACAAAAGAGATCTGTCATGATTGTCTGATGCACTTCTGGAATTTTAACTCTTCCGGTGGCTTCGTTTTTAAGTGGCAAACAATTTATTATAGGACCCATGACACAAGAAAATATTGCTTACGTTGGCTGCTATAATTTGAGAGCTGCTGGCACATTCAAGGCTACTGCACATGTGCTTTCACAGAAACCAAATATCCCCACACTCTACGGCATGAAATATACGTGGGTCGGGATTGCCTGGAGCTGGCTAGTGGCCGTCTTAAGGTCGGGGAGATGCCTGCCAAGGTTGCTGAGAGAATGACAGAGATCTGCATCGTCCCAGTTCCGGGCTAAACCCACTGTCAATCTTATGTGGTGTCTTTGGTGGCTGACAGAAAGGTATCTTCTGAGTTGTGTCAATCTGCTTAACCTCAGTCTCTACAGAAGATTCACAAACTGGCTTGCAAAGAGATCTTGGTCAAACATGGGAAGAGAGATCTTGGTCAAACAAGGGAATATTATTCAGGGTAACAGTCACCGTAGCTCAGGTGCACGATGGTAAGTTGCTTGGTGTTGTTCTAGGTGCTGAATAGCAACCCACTACACTCCAGTAGGCCTGTAGAGGAGCGTGAATGAGCCAGTCAGGCTCGGAGGGGGCCTATGCACTGCCAGTAAGGGTGGTTTGGAACCCAAGGATTAAGCCAACATGTACTACTGAGCCTGCTGCACCAGACTGGAGCATGAAGAGTTGAGTTCACTGGGTCACCCCTCTCAACCATTATGGCAGTGGCCCTGCCCATGTCTGTCTGGCAAGCCAGGGATGTGTGAGCCGGCCTACTCCCTTCAGCCTGACACCCACACTGTGGGCAATCTAGAAGCTATGATGGAGCCAGATGTAAATTAGGGTATTGTTTGGTCGCACCCCCTACCGACCGTAACAAAAGGGGATTAGTAAGCCAAAGCACTGTCCTATTCCAGAAACCTCCACACCAAAGTGTTCCTACGAATGCTAGTGATCTCTTGCTCACACAGTGACGTGCACTGAACCCTAACCAGAGACCCGACACCCACCTTATGAGTGCAACTAGGAAGGGGGTGGATGCCCAAACTAAGTCTCCCGGTATGAATCCATGATGTAAGACAATATACACACACAAAGCGATAATGAAATGCAGTGAAAGGTGGCAGGAAAAGGAACAATCTTTCACAATCATTATTACTGTCATGACAAATGCACAAGACACACACCTACATGTATAAATGCACTACGAAAAACAACGCATCTATAGGAAGGTGACATGGAAGGAACATTCTCATCGCAAGCTTTATTACAATCACAAAATAGAGACAAAACACACCTACACATGCACAACGATAACGAAAGGCAGTGAAAAGATGTCAACAAAATAAAAAAGTCTTCCTACAAGCTTATAACAATCAAGAATAGTTTATCAGGAAGTAGCAGTTGACTGAGAAGTGCCACAGAACGCAGTACAGTGAATGAAAAAAATCTTGAAAACTTGGAGTTGGACGAACACATCTGTTGGTATCGGTGCTCAGAAAGAGGAAAAACATGGCAGCCATTCTGCTAGGCATTGTGGGAGATGAGGGAGCATTATCAGTTGATCGAGAATTTAGCAAATGGCAAAGAGAAATATGCAGTAAGTATTGCTAATCTGGGTAGGTTGAAGGCAGTAGACAACATTTTACACGGAAATTTTCAGACTTGGCAATCTGGACGCCATTTTTGTTTTCAATTATCGGCAGAGTGATGCCATGAACTTATATAATTCAGTTATGAGACTAAAATGAAGCTGTTGATTGGCTCCCCCAGAAAGACAAGGAAAATTAATAAAAAAACATAGGCAATGCTTGGAATTCACTGACAGTTTCGCTAGCAAATTAAGTAACCCATATGCCTCCTTTAACTTTGGTGGATAAAGTTTGTCTTTCATAAGGACCTTTTCCAGCCAAAAAGAAATCTGTGGCTGGGGTTTACTAGCTCTTAAATAGCCCCAGAGCCAAATAATTGAGATCTGGAATGAATATGTAACAGATGATCTTACATGTCATTGTAGAGTATAGCAAGATCACTGGCAGCATTGCAAAGAAATGAGTTGGTCCTTCCAGGATGATCAATATCATGTACTGTTGCTGCGATTAATGAAGCTACTTCATCAGCTGGCTCAAAACAAGTCTAGTGAGGAAAAAATAATACTATTAATTTGACCCTATATAACACAAGAAACTTGAAAATATCAAGAAGATTTTGTAATAGAAACTATGGTGGTAAATTTTAAGGTGGGGTAGAGAAGACAGAAATAATATGCTTGGCTTCTTACTTTTAGTTTTTCCTTCCCAATAAAGTAAGCAGTGGCCTGCATGACATCTGCAGCATGTGTTGAGTTGTGGTATGGATTGGAACTATGATAGTTGGCCTCAATGACTTGTAGCCAGTTGCGCAGTACTGTCTCTGAGATTCCAAGGAAACTTCCAACTTTGAAACGGTTGAAGACCTTCAAGCCAAGGTAGATTAGAGGCCTAAAGGGAAAATGCACAAAAGAAAAAAGGTCAGATCACAGATCAATCCACTTTGGAATGGAGTGGCATGTACTTGTAATGATTGTCAAACCACACTGTCAGCTTTTTTCCTGCTTAAAAATCTCTCATGGTTCATTTCTTGCTCTTGAGACATTCCCTCAAAGATCCCTTATATAAAACTTATATAAAAGAAAGATTTACAATATAAAAGTCCTCTCCATTTGCTAAAAATTTCAATTTGAATATTCTATTCCAACTTGTGCCGGAAAATGCCGCAGCTCTATAATACATAAATGTAATAAAAGGAAACTGATGAATTGGAATCTTAGTCATAAAGAGATAAACCCATGAAAAAGGACTGCGTGATAAATGGAGCATCATGTTAAATATTCAGATGCAATTGAAAAGAGAATAAAGTGGTGACAAGTTTTACTGAAAACATAAAAGAATGGATTGATACACTGTGTAATACTTCTTTGAGTTCTGTGTGGTCCAAAGAAGCAGGTTGATCTTCTTAGACTAACCAGGTACATGTATGCTTTCCAAATGGTGGAATCACACTTCATTTAGCATGGAGGTTATTGATTGCTGCTGTAAATCTGCTCATCCATCATTTCCAGTATGCAAGCCTTCTGCCTTCATCTAGTGTAGCAACAAATTAGTAAGTTCAAATGTTGATTTTCTCCTATTCTATTACCTGTTGAGGGTTATTCTTTCTAGATCCAAAATATTGAAATCCCACGCTGGATCCCGTTCTAGGATCTTCTGAATTTCTACTGGAACCTGAGTCATATGTGATGATGGACTACTGGGAGAATGACGTGATGAACCTGAAGAACAAAGAAAAAGTATATGTACAACTTATACACATAACATTTGTAAGTATTCGCCTCCAGCTGGGACCTCACACTGTTCTTTCACCACTCCATACTTTGCATGCATGGAGCGATATAAACTTCTTTCCATAATTATTTCCTTCATTTTCATGAAATACTGGAGTTGAAATAAGAAAAAAAGAACCAAAAACCCCTAGAGCTCATCACTTTAATAATGGCAAACTACTATCCCTCAAACAACATCACAATTGGGAAAATTAATTCTACAACCTTCAGTTGGGAAGGGATTTTGTCATTTAGCGGGCAAGGCCACTTTGGTCTTAGACAACCCATTCTTTTTAGGACACTGCAGCCAGTGATGAGGGCACTAAGGCCAATAGAGTAAGTGAAAAAAGGCAATACAAAAAAACCACACTTAGCAGAGTTGATTCTGGTGCAGACATTCACTTTTATTTGTGACTTCACAAAATCTACCAAGAAAATGCATCTTCCAGTTTCCTGGATCGTTTGAAATGATCCTTACGAGGCATTGCTGACTGATCACAGTACACTATGGAAAAATTATGTGTTTCAGAAAACTAAATTAGAAAACTCTGGGCTATAATGAAAGAAAATACGTAAGAAAAGCAGTGTAAAATGCATGAAGGCTGCTTGTTGAATTTATTGTTGATGTACATGTACCCCAATGCAAAATGGCCCCTAACGTGGCACAGTTTCATTTTTTGCTTCTTGTGTCTTAATGGAGCAATATTTTTAGTTCAAATTTCATAAATGATGAATCTTCATTCAACTTCTAATATGCTAATTCGTAAATCTCAATTTTATGTCCTTGCTACAATGTTTGGATGAAATATTATTTTGCCTGATTTCCGTGTTTTTTCCCAACATGCAAATGAACTCTTTAAAATAAGCCAAGAAAAAGAGAAAAGAATTTTCTGACAACTTGTGGACAGGTATTTATTAACAATTTTGTAAATGTTTTATGTGGGATTTTCTGAGATTTTCTTCAAGTGCGCCACGTTAGGGGACTCTACTATACTGCATCCACATGGTATATAGTACATGTACATGTATCACACGTACCGGTAGCTGATGTTACTTTCCCTGGAAGCAGCTTCTCAAGTCTGGTAATTTTGTAGCCTTTATTCAAGCTTTGCATGGCACCGATGCACCATGGATGCTCAGATGGTAGCACGAACTTGAGAAGACAAGTGTGATTGGCTTCACCATTTGTATGGTATATCTTCATTGTGCTAGAAGCCAAAGTGTGTGGCGTGTGTCTAGGTAGCAACACGTGCCTTGAGTAAAAGGTAGTTTCATGTGCCCTACTCAGTTCATGTACATGTATGTACCGTACATGTACATACACTTTCGTCAGACCACGCGAACGACCATGTTCATTGTGCATGTAATTCGGTTCGGTCATACTGCAGTGCATGTTTTGGAATCAGGTGAGGGCTATGGCAAATAATATACACTTGTTGCAATATTTTTACACTGGCTGTCGGTCTTGAGCGCAGAGCACTTTGGAGAATTTAAGATGGACAGAAACAGGCTTTAAATTTCCCCCCACCTAGAGTGCGTTGAGTCTGCTACTGCATACCTATTGGATTACCAATACATATCATTATTTCCTCGTCCATTCCATTCACTAAATTCTCGATTGCCAGCAGAGCACCCTCTCTCACTCGACCCCCACGAAGACGGCTGCCATGTTTTTCCTCTTTTTTGATGCGCAAAGTGCCCCGAGGCCGTGTGGGATGGAGGGAGGGTAGTTGGTAATCTGGTAGGTATGCAGTAGTAGACTCATTCTACTCTAGGTGGGGGGAGAGTCTACTGCCTACAACCTACGCAGATTACCTATACATATATGCATGCATAGTAGCACCGAACCAATGGATGGCGGGAAGGCGAGAACACACTACCAGTATCTAGCCATCTCATAGTGACTGCTTGAATGCCTCCTCGTGCAAGGGTAGAGAATGGTCCGCAATGGCGTGACTGCAATACTGTCCAGCCTACAGTCAGTCCATGTGTATGGCCCCCCTGCAAACATTATTGAGGTAACAGGAGGTAAATTGGGTAAGGGTTTTCCAACAAGCCTCTCTACAAATTTCTATCACAGGAACCCCTACTGATGAAATGGCCCAGACACCAAGGGCACAAATGTGTCATCTACTTTGGTCACCTGAACCAGAAGGCCAGTCAATATATGGAACTTAATAGTGTATAGGACCATGAAATGAGGACACCCAAACATTCGGAGTAGAGCTGAAGGTAGACATAGAACTGATTCTTGTGATCTTAACAGAGAGGGTACATGTATTATCGGTACGCCTCTGCCGAACGCATCGCAAGCCCATGTTAAGGTTGCCTGAGGTAAATGGTCGTGGTGTTATCTAGCATATAGCCATGAAGATAACTGCCAACACACACTAACGAAAGATGTCGGCATTGAGCATGTATATAAACCTAGTGTCATGGATCGTGATAGGGCAGCAAGGTTTGATGTCTGAGAAAATTAGCCATTTGGAACAGATGCTGCTAACGGCTGAGGAAATCCAACTAGCGAAAGGAAACTCTAACCTAAGGGGTGAAGATAGAAGAAGAACAATCCCTCTCAGCTTGGATTCCAGGCCCACTATTAATACGAAGAGAACGAACAAAGCCTGGAATTGTAGCCTACGACATGGGTGAAAAGGGCACCATGGGACTATCACCCAATGAAAGTATGTGTGGAGGATATCATCAACAGACCACTGTGAAAGTTTGCTGTATATCCCCTTTTGTGGAAATGGGTAAGCCCAGAACGATCCACCAATAGTACTACCTGCATCACTTTGGAACTAGTCTTTTGTTACGTTATGTAATAGTCCTTGCAGCCAGCAGCTTTTTGGTAGTCAGTAACTTTTCGGTAGCCTTGTGGTTTGTTTTGTCTCTAGCAGCAGCATTGATAAAAGCCTTGGTTGTGTAAATTAAGGGTGATAACACTGAGTAGAATTACAAATCCAGGTGCTGTACAAAGTTGCTAAGGAGTTGCTTTGCCAACTGGAAGGTAAAATGCGTGATTTGGATGTGTGAGGGTGTTGGATGAATTGAGGTAGGGCAGACCAGATCAGATCTCGATAGAAGACAGACGTGTGTGTTTGCTGTATGATCGCATGAATTTCAGCCACCAGGCATAGCAAGCTACAGCAGGCTTTAATTGTTATCAGCGATCTACCAGTATCGAAAGACTGCACTTCAAAATAAGTGCTTGATTTTCTGTGAGCATTTTGGCTCTGTAAATAACAACGAAGAAAGAAATTCAGCACTTCTATCAACCAAACAACAGTAAGTGTTCATTTTGAATTTATCTGATGTTTTGAGAGTCTGAAACACTGAATTTATGGGCTTAACAAAAGTGGAGTGATTTAAGAAGATATTGAATTTATCACATATCTACTGTCATGTGTGTCACTCACTTGAAACCTTCATTAACAACCTCAAGCTTCAAACATTTAATGTTAAATTGCTGTTATTGGCCACTGCTTCACATTTAAAAACTGTAACTAGCCAAAGGCTTCAGTCACTCAAAACAGGTCCATAAGGGATCCCTTCCATGCATCATCTACCCATGCATTTGGTCACTGAAAATTTGAATGCAGGATCACTGGAAGTGACCAGAAAGAAATACAACTTGAAAATCAGAGAACATGGCAAAGATACAGTACAGATCATATTTTTTTGCCTACTTGATGCACTCTACATAGTGTGTCAGCATGCACTGAGTCCAACAGACATGAAAGGAATTAACAGCAGACACGAAACATACCGACTCCTCCGTAACAAAGACCGCCGACTTGGCAATCCAATCTGAGTACAAACGTACGCAAGCTACATGCAAACCGCAATACAGCCAGTACTCTTGACCAGTACAGTTATTTCCTAGTTTCAGATAATGGAAAATGTTCAGTTTGATTGCAGTTCAACTTCCTCAAATTCCAAGGAAATGTAGGAGATATCACAAAATTATTTTCAAAGACAAAGCTTTCTATTTGGATACAGGATCAATGAAAGTGCCACGCCGGTGACACTTCAGTTTGGTTTGTCCAGGTCAAATCGCTCCAAAAACCTTTGAGTCAGGCACAGAAAATAATCAAGCGAGAAATCAATTTTTCAGCCAAAACAACTTTTACTAGCACTTTTTGTGGCACAGCATTGCCCTAACCCCTTTTCGCCAGGAAGCGGAAAGAGCCGCGCCTGGAGAAAAGTCTAATAACCAGGAAGCGGCTGTAGCCGCATACCACACCTGTAACTTTTATTCAGTGTACACCTGTAATTACTGGGACCTTTGCATTGAATGGAGATCTGGGGCAACCTAGAGGGTTTGTTGATCCCCTGATACTTGGTAAATGTTTTTTTTATCAAAACACCCCTTTGTCTTTGATTGAATACCCTGGGTAATCTCCGTGGAGCGGAGCTCGAGGCCTGGGACAGGGCTTATGCAACGCGTTTTGTGTGGGCCCAGAGCATGATGAATGCAGGCCACTGACATGGTGTGCGCGCCATTGTTTACGGCCCTGCTGGGCTGGGAAGGCAGGCAGAAAACTAGCACCACAAACTTAGGGTATAGACGGGCCATTGTTCAGTGTAATTGGTTATTTGTTTCGTTGAAAAGCAGCGTTTTCTGCGGGGCTGGGTATATATTTCCCTGGCCGCTTCCCGGTCCTTCAGTTGCATTATACAATGTCTTCCAGCGACGAGGAAACTTTGACCACGACTAGTGGTTCAGATTTCATGTCGGAATCTGAACATAGTTCAGAAAATGTAACTAGTGACAGCGATTCGAACGGGCAACCACCATTAGCAAGGCCAGCCAAGAAGGTCAAGACTTCGTCCATTCAATGGACGGCTGATGACAACTTCCCCCATCGAGACGGTTTTCAAGGCACAGCGGGTGTTCAAGTACAAGAACTGGACAAGAACAGCACTCCTCTCGAAATCTTCGAGCA